CTCATTGATACATTCATTTGTTCTAAAAAAACACGGAATATTTATGTAAGCATGTTCGATATATCCCTGAGGCAGCTTATAGTGTGATCATGACAATTTTCTGTAGCATGCAGTCTGCTGCGACTTATGTTTTCTATGTCTCAAGAGGTGGCCTGGTGTTCATGTGGCAATCGTCTCCAGGATGAAAACCCTGATCTGGTTATCTATATTAGATAATGTTGGCATATGTTTGTCTTTTTTTTTTCTTGTTGAAGGTGTTACCTTAGGGATGTCTCTTGATGAAAATCTGGAACTTGTGGTTAGGTTGGTTTGGACAACATCGATGAACATATCCTAATTCCTTCTTGAAGGCAATGTTCTCGACAAATGGCATAGACACTATGTTGTCGTCACAGTTACAGGAGAGCAGGCAGTTGCAACAGTATGATATGTTCATGCTGTTTTAGTTTTTTTTTTCCCTTCTTTTCTTTTCGGGCTGGGTGCATCCTCACTAGATGAAGAGAGCACCGGATGTAACTTCACTACTCAATGAAATATCTAGTATCTAAAGAAAATGTAAATCTTACGTGCTGGACATTACTAAAACTGGTGCTTGCTTGCAGTTTGAACTAGCTAGAATTCAGAAAAATGCAATGAGGAAGTCAAATTAACACAGGCACACCGCTAGCAATTGTTTGATCATGTTTTTATTATTTATACTGATTACAAACTAAGAATTGAGGAATGGTCCAGACAATGGCAAATATTGGTAGATACAGATCCTGACGATATTACGCTAGCTGTCAGAATTCATAAACCTCCCAGAATTCTTCCTTTCTGATTAGCCACATGGATGATTGATCATACAATCCATTTCGTAGAAGCTGAAAGCGGTGGCGGTACATGTTGTCCTGGTGATGGAGCCTTTGACAAAACCAACCTTGGTATCATATCTTCTTCAAATCACCATGGCAGGGTACAAGGATCAAAATTTATGGGGAGAATGCTGGTAGGCGCAACCTGAATGGACTGTGGTGGCGACTGGCGACTTCACAAGAACTGCATCAATCTCTTGGCTATGCGCCTATGCTACGAGATCGATACACCCTCCCCCACCCCCTTCCTTCCCTAGCAAGGTTGAATCTGTGACTTGGTGGCAATGTGGCGTCAAGTTTGTGAGATGTGAGTAATGACAGTGTAAGAGTATTTCTTCACTCCAAATGCGGATAAAACGAAGGGTTCCATGTGAAAAAAACACCCACTGCCGCTTCCCAAAGAGACTGATCTATACTCCCTCTGTCCCAAAATATAAGAGAAATTGGAGGGATGTGATACATCCTAACAAACTTATGTCCAGATTCATAGTGCTAGAATGTGTCATATCCCTCCAAAATCCTTTATATTTTGGAACGAAGAGACTACCACTTAATTTTGAGCGGACGGGTGGGAGGTGGCTCAGTAGGATTATCAGGGGGCCTAACATATACTTGTATTAACGGAGAGTTTTCTATGCAAAAATGTCATTTGCAATTGTACGGCGATATGGGAAGCTAACATTTGGTACGATTGTCTAAAACTGCCCTTTTTGTGCCATAAAAGATAAGACGACTGAGCGCCAGTGCTACAAATTATCATACAGAAATGATGAGTTATGGTCAGGTCCATTACCGTGTCCAGTGGGTCACTAGCTAGGGTAGGTCTGGGAGGCACCGGAAGCTCTTGTGTTACTGATCCTCTTGCGACATCTTGAAGGATGACACTCAAGTGTTCTAGTTTACCATGTCCTTGAGAATTTTATCTTGCTGGGCTACATCTATCGCTTAAGAGTTGCAGCTCATGGGTGCGCACGAGCCGTAACATCTATTGTTGTTCTAGATGAATGCATGAATGGCTAGTGGGGCGAGGGAGGATGAAGGGAAGATAGAGATTTCAATATTTGTTTAGTTATTGTCATGTAGTAGTGTTATTGTTGGATTAAGCTATTACCCATCTTAATATCTACTTCTACAATGGTGAACCAAGTAGTAATCCTACTTATTTGCAGGTTTTTTTTCATATTGTGGATGCCCTCATGACAAAGTGGAATAATCCCATCAATTCACCGATACATTGTGCCTGTCACAATCAGTTTTAATGTACACATGCAGCTAGGGATGAAACTGGTTCGGATAGTTTCCGTTCGTCCAGACCATTTTTCGGATTCGGATAGTTTCGGTCGGAACTATCCGGAAATCCTCGGATTCGGAAACGAATTCGGATTTTTTTTCTCGGAAACGAAAACGAATACAGTAAGGGTACTATCCGTCGGAATCGGAAAACGGTCGAAAACTATCCGGAATGTTTTTCGGATATCCGCAGACATTGAGCAAATTTTAGAAAAAACACGTATATATACATAACTTTTTCATACGGAATCAGATGAAGACAAACTTTATATCAAAATTGTAGAGGTCGATGAGATCTACAACTTTCTTATTGACTATTTTATTATTTGAGGTTATTTAAGGGTCTAAATATTCATTATAATATACCATACTAATTTTTACAAAATCTCAGATCTACAATTCAAATGACATCTGATGGAGATGTGTTCCATATCAAAATTGTAGAGCTCAACGGGATTTACCACTTTGTAGTTTATAACATTTGTATTTGAAAGCATTTAAAGCATAAAACAAATATTACTAGTTTCGAAGATGTGAAGTAAAATAAATAACATCTCCAATTTATACAATGTCAAGTAAGTTATACATCTACTAAAAAGTCTTGAGAATAGAAAATGATAATCATATTTGCATATGGATCTCTTAGAGGAACAACCATGAAAATCGATTTTCATATGCGGTTGTGAGACCATCTACAAAATTGACGATATAAATGTTGGAGATGTTGAACTAAAATAATAAGTGATCTCTCTTCCTTGATCAAGAAACTCAATTTGAGGGGCTTTTTATATACCGGTAAATATTCGCTACCGTATTCGTTCCGTCTCGTATTCGCTCCGTATCTGTATTCGATAATATTCGATTTCATTTCCGTATCCGAGTTTTCGATTCCGATTCCGATTCCGAAAAAATATATGAAAACAAATATGATAAAGCTAGTTTCCGTCCATTTATGATCCATTTTCATCCCTACATGCAGCGATCTATTACCATTGGCATGTGAGTTATCCCTACAGTGGTAAGCTGCATTCTCGACCAATAATACGAATAAATATTGGGTGGGTTAGAAATCTTTGTTCAAGAAATTTTACGATCTTTGAGATACTTAGCACGTAGCTAGAAGTACCAAATTTTAAACTGAAATATGTGGTATCTCTCAGTTCCTTCTCAAGAATGATAAAATTACGTACCCTAGTTCGGAACCGCTACCTTGATTGGATGGAACTGTCAACGCCCCGTTCTGATTGATTACCTGGTTGCATTGGTCCAAAGGCTTGGACATAAATACATTCAAGTGCTATACTGACGTATTAGAACATTTCAGGGAATCATATATGCACATATAATGCAGTCCCATCATCCCACCTATTGATGAATTGTTCGTGTCAGGTATAGCTCGAGTGGGTTTGGAGTGGATGGTTCTGAATTAGTAAGGTACTAAAAGATACTCCCTCCGTTTCAAAATGTTTGACACCGTTGACTTTTTAGTACGTGTTTGACCGTTCGTCTTATTCAAAAAATTTAAGTAATTATTTTTTCTTTTCATATCATTTGATTCATTGTTAAATATACTTTCATGTACACATATATATTTAAAAAATATAAAAATAAAAAAATTTGGGGGGAGGGTCAAACATGTGCTACTTAGTTAAGGGTGTTAAATTTTTTGAAATGGGGGGGGTAGTTATTAATATTTAATTGTATAAAAGTATGTAGGAGTTGATTGGATGGAACATATATAAGGAGTGGGAGGTGGTACATTGAAATATACTGACAGAGTAGGAAAAATTGCCATAAAAATGTAATTGCTGGATAAATCAATGATCTGTTGATGTGCGACAACCCTCACTTGCTGTGAGATAGATGAAAGAACACTTGAAAGAAAGCACACCCTGAAACTCCATTGGCCAGCCAGATGATGGTCCCTGGGATGTTTGCACATGTTGCAACATGAGTTGGCATTGCAGCCATTTGATTGCATGTTGATCTTACGCACATGAACATGCATCTTGTTTTGGTATGCTGGCAAAAAAGGACGCCGGTGGGGCGAAACCACCCTGGTGCACACACACTCCGTAGCGTACTGCCAACTCTATCGGTCAAAAGAGAAAATCTGTAGGATCTCCATATAGAAATGGTCCCCCCCACCCCTACCCTAACCACCTCATAGACCATAAATTTTCGCCGATGCCAGATCTTATACAAGTTTTACGTGGGGAAATCAATTGTTTGAAATTGTTAGCATGTTCTCCCCTTTGTGTTTTATTATTCATTAGAGGTGAGTTTTATTCTGCAGGCCTTCTGAAATAGCCACCGTACTGGGGTTCAGTTGAGCCTCCTAGTAGTTTTCTTTCCATTATAGTTTGAGATTGTTTCCTCGTGGGATGGCACGGTCATTAGCTGGCGCCGGTGAAAACAATAAATTAGTTGTGCGAGTAAATTGCACCCACGGTACAACAACTTGGCAGGTGGGTGCGGTATAGTGCAAGAACTTGGGAATTGAACGTTTGAGTGCAATAACTTGACAAATGGGTGCGTTCTAGTACAATTTACATCCAATTACCTTTAAGATTTTTTTTTGTTTTCTTCACCTTCTCAAATATCAACCGAAATATAATAATTTTTACATCACTTTAATTGACTTTCAATTATTATTTTTACGTCTGAGTGCAATAACTTTACAAATGGGTGCGTGACCTATTGTTTTGCATAGGCCAGCCAATATTTGGATCCAAACCAAAATTATACTTTGTACTGTTAATGTGGCCCAAACATTGGTAAGGCCATTTTAGGCTATGAACCAAACCGGCCCTATACTACAGATGGGTTGCGTTGTATTAAACCGCAACCCACCCCCTGGGGGCAACCCACACCCCTACCCCTACACCACACCACACCACACTAGCACATCCCTGTCCCCCTCAATTCCCGTAATGGTGTTACTAACGGTACTATCAATTTCTACTGAGTAATTGTTTTACTGGTAGTAGTGTTTAAATCGTCGTATACATACATGTGTTGGTCCCACACCGTAACTAACCACTAATCAATTTCCCCCCTTTTTTTTTTGGATCTATAGAGGCAGGAAGCCGGCTCGGCAGCTGTGGCATCAGGAAGCGGAGGCGGCGGCGACGGCGATGGCGTGCTACAGGGAGGAGGCGCCGTGCTGGATCTAATGGGTTAGGCGGCAAGAACGGGCATGTCCATGTCTGGCGAGGAGGCGGGGACGGTTTCGCTCTCGTTTCCGTGGTTGTCGTCGGCTCCCTCCCTCAAGCGAGAAAAGCAAGAAGCGCGCCGCCTCCGCCAAGGCTGCCGACGAGGCCTCCACCAACCGCACCCGCGCTACCTCCCGACGCCAACTCCTCCGCTGGATCCCTATTGCTGTATCGTTCTCCTTGGTGAGGTGGGGACTTCTCTAGGGTTTGGGGATTGGGGGATTTATAGGGTTCCTCTGCCCTCCCTGCGTATAGGAACGAATCAGAATTTGGTTTTTCTTTTTTTTTTCTTTACTTCATGCGATGGGATTTTGCATGGTGGTTCTGCTCCAGATCTGGAAGCTTCAATGGCATGGGTATCATGTGAGAAGCTCCTTGCTGGTAGATGCCCCTTGTTCTTCTGTTCCAGATGTACATGCTACAGGGCGACACGAGCTCCTGCTCCCTGCACTCCATAGGTTAGCCTGCATCGACGAGGAATACTTGAGGACGCCAGGGGTGAAGAAGGGTGTAGCCTTTGGGAGCCTTGCCGCCAGATCCGCCGTATCCAGCGGCCCCGCGCGTCCCCGACATCCCTCTTGTCGTGGTCTAGGGTGCTGCGATGTCGTCTTGCCGTGGTCTCCATTCGGTTTGTTCTCCATACTATTTTAATTGGACATAGTTTTTTTGAGTGCTCAGACTGTTGTGGGATCTATTCAATAAGCTGTAATGACTTGTTGTCTTTCCAATTGCTGAAATCTTGGAGATTTTTTTCGGTTAATTTGGCTGAATAACAATGTTATGCGATGCTGTTTGTGCTTTGATTCTTCAGGTACTAATTAGAGATATTGGAGCCATTGTTTAATTACTTTACGAGCAGTTCAGGTACTTTACTAGCAATTCAAGTGACAAATTTGGTTCACTAATCTAGTTCACAAATAAGCAGTGAGATATGTAAACTCTGAGATATGTCATATTTTTACAGCATGTGTACAGTATTCGTCGTAGTTTTCTGAAATTAGTACTGCATGTCCTGTGAGATGTGTAAACTCTGAGATATGTGATATTTTTACAGCATGTGTACAGTATTCGTCGTATTTTTCTGAAATTAGTACTGCATGTCCTGATTCTGAATTTTCGGATAGATGAAAGCTCAAAAAGCTCGATCGGATAGCAGTTTTCTAAATTTTTGTTGTTCAAAGGAGCACATCGATTGAATTTTTTTTTCTGAACTTCTGACTAGATATGTTCGCTGTTGAACATACCCTTTTTTCTCTGTATATTTTTGACAGAACAGACATCTTCAGACTAAGACTAAGGTCTAAATTTTACTGAAATTATTAACTTCTAATTCTTGCAGGCATCAGCATCTACAGTGTGCACTCTTGCAGGTGGATGCACATCTTGATGGTATGGTGGTTGGTATTTGCTCTGTTGAAGATGTACATGTTCTAATTTTTTTGGTTGCTCATCTATATCTGAATTTTCTTTTTAATTGTGAATTCATTTGTGTTCAGGAAACTAGAAAAGAACATGAGAAGATTATGCCAGTGGTGGTGGTGCCACTGGAATGCCATCCTCGACATGTCCTTCGTCAACGTTCGTCGCCGGCGGCCAACACAAAGGGTCAACCCAGGACGACCACACCACAATTGATGACAGGCTTCGGTGGCAGGCGATGCGATGCCCTCTGGATTGTGCTTTTTTTTTTTGGTACCGAGTGTATATGTGTTTGTAACGATGATGGCACGATCAATTGTAAAAACAAAGTCCATTATACCCGTATTCGTGCAGTAAAATATTTACTACCTTATATATCAGGCCCAATCAACTACTAAGTAACTTTTTTACTCCCTCCATGATTGGATAATCCCAATACATATCAGTAATTTTTTTATTCCATGAATATGTTGCTTCTTATCTATTAGTAAATCATTTACTCATGGGCTGAGTCTCTATTAGTAACGCATGTACTCATTGCCAATACGAGATGTGGCTAGCAAACGATATTCTTATATGTTAGTAACTCATTGTGGGCCAAGTCTCTGTTAGTAACGCATTTACTCATGGGCCAATAAGGGAAGTGCCAAACAAATGTTACTCTTATCTGTTAGTAACTCATTTACTAATGGGCTTTGTCTCTGATAGTAACTCATTTACTCGAGAATAGTAACTCGATTACTTATCGAAAACATACTGATAGTAAATGAATTACTAAAGTCACACATATTATTGTTGGTGGCTGGGCTAGCAAAAGGTGCGGGATTGATACATCATTCAATTTTTACGTATAGTAAATATGTTACTTATCGTATATTGCGCCACAAACAATCATTTAGTAATTAATTTATTATACGTTATTTCTAAAAGGTGCGGGGTGAGGGATGTGGGGTGGGTGTGGCTGGGGGGTAGGGGGGAGGGTGGGGGTGGGGGTTGGGGGTTGTGAGGGGAGTAGTTTAGTTATAACGCACCCTGGGTGTGTGTGTATGTGCGTGTATATATAGATACTATACTACACGTGGGGTGCGTTGTATTAAAAAGCAACCCACCCCTACCCCCCACCCCGTCCCCAACCCTCCACATAACCAACACACCCCGGGTCCCAACTCGTGCCGATCCTCCTAACCATAGTAAATCAGTTACTAATTAGTACTATCAACAGAATCCACTGTACATATTTATTCCCAGCCATAACCAACCAACCTATTTTACCTATTCTTTTGGATCTGGAGAGGCACCCTCCCTCGTCGCCGGCGTTCGTCCTCCCCCAGGCTCTACCGTCCGCCCTCCACCGACGCAGACGTCCGAGAGCCCGCGCCTTTCTTCCCATGCATGGCCCTCCCTGCTCCTCGGCCGGCCATCCACATTGGCCGTGGTCGATGCGGTGCCGAACCCGCCAGCACCTCGCGTCGGCCACGGCTTCGACCCTCATCATCGGGGGCATCGACATCCCGCATGACCACGGCTGTGACAACCACTCCGACGGTAGGTTCCCATGCTGTGACTAACCACCCATCTGTTTTCCTTTTTTTGGATCTGAACAGGCGGAGGTGCTCCTGGCGGCGAACGGCTGACGGCCATAACCGGGGAGGACCGCCAGCTTACTCGACGTTGAGCAGATCGGCCGTCCTCCATGGTCGTTCCACCACCGGATCTGGCTGTTAGGATCGACAAGCAGGAGGTAACGGATCCCAATCGTCGAAGGCGACGGTGACCAAGGAGCGACAGTCGCCGTCGCCCGTGCAGGACAACGCATGCGGCAAGGAGCCAAAGGGGCGTGAGACCACCAGGGCAGTGCCATCAGCAGGAGGTAACGCACTCATGCATCCCTCGCCGGTCTGACCTGATCGTTCGCCGGATGAGGAGGAGATTAAGGCCCGTGCGCAGCCACTACCGCTCCGGCAAGGTTGATGCCTTGACGGCACAGTCTACCGCCTCCACGATGACATCTATGTCCAGATTCACCACCATCTCCTCCACATCCTACATGCTTTGCACTTTGCACCACTCACGTTCCTTCTCCTTTACTGTATCTTGTGTTGGTTCCAGTCTATGGTTGAATTTACTGCGACCTGCTTCTGAAAAAAATCCGCATCACTCTGATGATTTCTCTCTTTCGTTGTGTGTGATTTCCGCTTAGAAAAATCTCTTCAAATGATTTTGTAAGCGAACAGGTTCACTGATGAGATTTAAAGAAGTAAACGCTGCTTGGAATGTACATGCTGTCAAGAAAATTTAGGTGAACTAAATCGTTATGCCCTTTTTGGTTTCTTCTGACATACTAGTTGTAAGTTTGTTTGGAGAAGAGACTTTAATTAAGACCAAGAGAAAGGGCACATGTAAATTTGTTTATTTAATAAAATTATGTTTCTCATGAATACACCATGTAAATTTGGGTGGACTATGTGAATCTGGGCACATAGGCTGAGGTTTTAATACATCATTGCCCACTGCAGAGAAAGGACTGAACTATTAATTGTTTTGAGTACTTATTTACTCTCTGATCTTTTAACAGAAAAGGATATTGGTTGTTACTGGTTTTAGATTCAGTTAACCTGGGCAAGTGCAATTAGCCTTTGTGTGACCTTGTCTGAGATATCTTCAAATTGGTTTGAGTTCTGACATACTATAGTTCAGATGATTGGAGCCTTGAATAATCCACAATTGAAGATTTGAATGATCTTACCATTTTCTTTTTATCTACATATAGTACTTGAGTGCATGCTTTTGATGTATTTTTAAATTTTTTTCACACGTGTAGAACAAGTGCAAGTGACAGTTCAATGTTTCTTGCATGGGTGATGGATAAATGTTGGCGGGGAGGATTAAGGAATCTGCAACACTGCGTGGGCTCGACAATGATGTGTGGCACTTGCACTGTCCGGCGTCTATGGGTCTCTCTCAGCATATTGCATTCCCCAGCTGAAGGTTCCCTGCCATGAATTCAGAGAAGAAACAACATTAAGAGAAATATGTATTCCTGTTCTTTAGACAGTGCATCATTAGACTACTACCTCTATTACTACAAGAAGTTTGTGTTAGCAATAATGTGGCTACATGATGTTTGTATTAGCAGTAATGTGGCTGTGTTAGTCATTTGGAATTAGAAATTAATTCCATACACCGAGAGAAGCAATGTTGGATACTATTCTTCTTGTTCAATATTGTCCTATTGTACACAAAATAGAACATTATGTCGTCAGGTTGCGTTGTATTTACTGATGGGCCAATTGCGATAAGAGTGAGGGAGGAAAAATAAAAAAACGTTAGTAACTTAATTACTTATGGGTGAACAGCCTCAGTAATCCAGTTACTACATACTCAGTAATCATTTTACTAATGTGCCAATTGTGATAGGAGTGTGGGTGGAAAGAAAAATAAAGTTAGTAACTCAATTACTTATGGGTTAACCGTCTCAGTAATCCAGTTACTCATGTGGGCTAGTAGAGAACAAAATAGATAGGAAAATAGATAGGAGTGCGTGCGGGAGGAAAGAAAAAAACGTTAGTAACTCACTTACTAATGGGTTAACAGATCCAGTAATTCAGTAACTCATGGGCCAATGGAGAACCAAACTGATAAGAGTGCGGGAGGAAAGAAAAAGACGTTAGTAACTCAATTACTTATGGGTTAATGGGGGGGTGCCGTGAGGGGAGTAGTTTAGTTATACCACACCCTCGGTGCGGTTTAGCGCATCCCTATATATATATAGGTGGTGGGGTGGGTGGGTGGTGCGGGGAGGCCAAGGGTGTGGGTGTGTTTTAGCTATACTACATCCCTATATATATAGGGATGTAGACTCTGAAGCATACAACTTATATGAAGAATTTGAGCTATCCCACTCGCAAATTCCGGCTTTAGAAGATATTTGGAATTCATAGTTATACTCAAAGTAAGATAAAACAGCTCTTGCATTATATATGCTGAAGAATGATTTGCTTCAGTGCTTAATTAACATCACAAGGACTACTAACGATTCCTAAACATTAGTTAGGAACAAATCATTGGGGGTCTGGCTGGTTCGAACTAAGAACCAAGAAGAATCTCACTTGATGCAAAAAGGACTCCATTGAATCGAAGGAATTGGGGAGGATTTTTGTAAAATTGAACTAATCTCTATGAAATTCTTGCAAAATTCATATGTTCCAAGGAGCCAACTGTGTGAATGCTAGTCTGGCTTTCTCATGTACAAGACAAGTCTCCACATCTTTCTCTGGTTCGTGTAAAGTAAGATCATAACGAAAGGGTACATTAGTTATACACTACACCGGACAAGGCTACCTGTGACGGGCTCAAACTGTCACCTCTGACGGATTTGGCCCTGGTCAGAGATAAGTGGTCACTGATGACTGTCCTCACCTTTGACGGGTGAAGGTCCGTCAGTGGTGACCAACACCTGTGACGGACCATATATAAAACCCGTCACAGGTGACTATTAACCTGTGACGGACCTTATATTGTGACCCGTCAGTGATATCTTTAACCCAACAAAAAAAATTGAAAGACATAGCGTGCAACCCGTCACTGGTGTGAAAAACCTAGCAAAAGAAAAAATGGCGCACGCTGCCATGGTGGTGCTCGTTGTCACAGTTGCTTTGCTCACACAAGAAATTCAAACCGATAGATCTCATATAGCACACATTCATAGAAGTCATATAGCACACATTCACAGAAAGGGGATGGCAAGAATTTCTCAATCCACATACAACAATATAATATCAAAGCAAAACAAGAGGATGGCGGCCATGGCGAGGGACGGTCGGGAGGTGGAGGCGGCAGCGCCCTCTGGTGGGAGGCACATCCGGCCGCCGGAGCAAAGGGGAAGCAGAGCCGGCGTTCGATAGTCGGGAGGCGGCCTCGTCCGGCGGCTGGGACGCGGATCCACATCCCCTAACCTTGTGGAGGCGGGATCTGGTGGGGGAGGCAGGGGAGGCGTCCGGCAGTCGGTGTGGGAGGCGCTGGCGGCCGGATCCGGCTTCCCGGAGGCCAGATCCGGCGTCCGACGGTCGAGAGGCGGCCGCGTCTGGTGGCCGGGACGCGGATCCACGTCTCCTGATCTCGTGGAGGCCGGATCCGGTGGGGGAGGTGGGGGACGAGTTCGGCAGTCGGTGTAGGAGGCGCTAGCGGCCGGGAGGTGGCCGGGATGCGTATCCACGTCCCCCGACCTCGTGGAGGCCGGATCTGGTGGGGGAGGCGGGGGAGGAGTCCGGCAGTCGATGGGGGGGCGCTGTCGGCCGGATCCGGCGTCCGATGGCCGGGGGCCGGCGAGGCGTGGGAGATGGAGGCGGCCGGCGGTCGGGAGGCGGCGAGATGTGGGAGGTCGGGAGGAAGAAGAGAGAGGTGGAGGCGGGAGGTCGGGAGGAAGTGAGGGAGAGAGTTGAGGAAGAGGAGAGAGTGGTGGGGAGGAGTTGAGAGAAGAGGAGATAAGGCCGGGAGGTGGGTGGGTAGTGGGCCCCCTGGGTGGGTGGTAGGGGTTTCTTTTTTTTTAACTCACCAGTGACGGGTATAAAAATCCAACACGTTTGAGGTGAGGTATCTCACCTGTGACGGGTTACAAACTTAAAACCCGTCACAGGTAAGAGGTCATCAGTGACGGGTCTATATGTAGACACGTTAAAGATGTTGTGTGTCGGGTTCCTTATATAGATCCGTCACAGATGAGTACTTACCTGTGACGGGTTATTTTCTTGAGCCCTATCTATGACGTGATTTATTGTAACCCGTCACAGATGAGGTTATCTCTGACGAGGCACTTTGGTCCGTCACTAATAGGCCGTCACAGATGGGCCGATCTGGCGTAGTGATAACTTTTTATTGAACAAATTAAACGATTGTTTATTTTAGTGGCCAAATTAAAAGAACCACTTATTTACATTAGATCATGTTGATTGATCATATAGTACAAGGGAAAAAGAAAATACAACTTATATCATTCAACTTGTTTTCTTAATTACAGCGACGGAGAGAGCGACCTGCTTCATCATATCATCACAAGAAAATTGTTTTGCATCAACACTGATAATAATTTAAGCATCTTTGCATCTAACATGCAGCCCATGTCGTAAAATTAATTAGTGCAGTATTTATGTTGAATGCATGGGGCATTCTGCATTCGTGCTAGACCAATGTATCAATTACGACGATGAATTAAAACTACAACTTGTGTTGGCTAATTGAGTTGTTATTACTGCCACAACACGCAGCTTCCTCGTATGTATGCACAGCGTTGAGTGGTCTGTCTTGATTGGATTTGAGACGCACGGCTGTGAGTTTAGGAACAAAATTTGAAAATATATATTACTTTTCACGCTTTTATAATTATATATAATGTTTTCAAAGATTTGTGAAAATACACGCGTACCGCGGTTTGGTAATGCGCGATTGATTTTTTAGCGCCGCACGGAGATGTGGGACCGACGGCCGGAACAATCCCATGAATCGGGAGAGCGGTACCGTAGCGGTCCCGCCAGCCAGCCGTGCGGCACCACACGGTCATGCAGACCGGGCATCGCGCACTGCTCGGTCGCGCGTGGCCAGCCAGCGGGCCCGCAGGACCGACGCAGTACCGCGCGTCAGCATCGCGGGATTGTTCCGGCCGTTGGTCCCGCGGCTCCATGCCACGGGAAACAACCTGTCGCGCATTTTTGAACTGTTGTACGCGTATATTTTCACAAAGTCTTCCAAAACCATATATATAACCCTAAAAATGTAGGGATGAAAGTAGGCCAACCCGCGAACCCGCTTATAGACAAAATTAGTGGGTAAACTGTGGGTTACCTACTAATTTGACCTACAAATGGGTTTATAGGTTGACCCACTTGCATCTTTACGACGGGGCAAGCCGAGCCATTACACGGAAATCCATAGATTACCCCTTATTTAACATAAATGTAGGTTCGCAGGTCAGCCCACTTGCATTATAGCGCATGTCTCATGCATTACTTTTACAAAGTATATGTTTACACAACTCTATATTTTCATGTATCACCATACATAAAGTACTTTCCATGGCAGATCTATATCACTGGTGGAGAAACCCTTTGTACTCCCGATTCGTAACCGCCCTTTAGTCCCGGTTATCCAACCGGGACTACGAATCCGGGACTAAAGATCGCTACCATTAGTCTCGAGTGAAATAACCGGGACTAAAGATCGATCTTTAGTCCCGGTTGGTACCTATCTTTAGTCCTACTAAAGAGAGGGTAGCGGCAGTCCCATTAGGTCTCTTTTTCTTTTCTTTTCATTATTTTTTAGCCAGAGTTTAATCCCTGTATTTTCTCCCAAATCGAGTGGGATGCATATTCCTAAATCAAACCCTAAATCAAAGTAATATCCCAAAACATTCACATCACAAATCTTAAGTTACTTCAACACACAAATCAAATACATCACAAATCATTAAAAAAATACACACAAACCAAATACATCACATATTATACATCTCAGATCCATACAACAAATCACAAAATTATACATCTAAGTGAATCACAAATTGTAAAAAAAAAGAAAAAAAGAATGGATGCCGGTAGCGCCGCCTGCTCCCCGTGCGCGGCCTGCGTGCGGCCCCGCCGGCCGCCTACCACGTGCGGCCCCGCCGGGCGCGGCCCCGCCTGACGTGTTCGGGAAGGGAGGAGGGGGAGGAGGTGGCCCTTGCTGGGCATTGGATGGGAAGGGAGAAGGGGGAGGAGAGGGCCGGGATGGGAGGCGGAAGGGGAGGAGAGGGAGGAGGAGAGGAGATGGATCTAAGGAGAGGAGAGGCCGGTTGTTGTTGAGGAGATTGAGGCCGGTTGTGGGGGAGAGGATAGGGAATAGGGATTATATACTAGGCGTGATTTTAGTTCCGGTTGGTAATACTAACCGGGAGTAAAGACCGGGACTAAAGTGGTGATCTTTAGTCCCGGTTTGTGACACCAACCGGGACTAAAGATCCCCACCCCTCTGACAAGGGACTGACAGGGGATGAACCGGGACTAAAGATCATCGGGACTAAAGATCATCTTTAGTCCCGGTTGGTGTTAGCAACCGGGACTAAATATCATAGAATGGCTATGGGGTTTTAAACCGGGACTAAAGATCATCTTTAGTCCCGGTTCTTTTTATAACCGGGACTATTGTGGTTTTGGGGCGAGCGAGTAAAGATCAGTTTTCCAGTAGTGTATTTTCCATTTTCAAATATTTAAATCTAATCTATACATATACTAATTGAGAACTTTCTACAAGATCTCATATTAACCAGAAAGATCTAGCTATTGTTTAGATATATCGTACCATTGTAACCGTTAATGTAAAATCCAGTCTCTACGCTTAATGTTATGGCCCACGTTAAAGCCCATCCACCTTGCAGTATATGTAACGCACTATAGGCAAAATTGGTTATATAGCATCGAAAGTTCACGTTTTTGGTTTTATAGCACCGAAAGATACCGGTTCACTTTAATAGCACCCAAAGTTCACCATGTTCCCATTTTTAACACTTCCGTCAATTCTCGGTCGTTTTCCGTCCGTCTTGATCCAGCCACACACACGATATGACGTTTCTACCCCTCACAAGTACAAGTAGAATGCATGTCAATGAGGGGTAGAAACGTCATATCGTGTGCGTGGCTGGGTCAATAGCGATCAAGACGGACGGAAAAATTGACGGAAGTGTTAAAAATGGGAACAGGGTGAACTTTGGGTGCTATTAAAGTGAACCGGTATCTTTCGGTGCTATAAAACCAAAAACGTGAACTTTCGATGCCATATAACCAATTTTGCCCGCACTATATCATATCTCTCGGTAGCGCCTACCCCCATCGATCCCATCTGAAATAGCCAGTCGATTATACGAGCGGAACGTAGATGGGAACGACGAGAGCGTAAACCAGGCAGATGCATTCGCCGGCTGGCCATCAACGTTAATCCGATCAAACCCAGAATACTGACAACTTCGTTCCACGCGAGGAGATGGACATCGCCCTTCAATCTTTCTGCTTCAAAATTAGGTAAAAAGTAATGCTAATTTTATTTCCCTAACCGTCTTTATCTGTGTTTAACAAGAAGCGCATGCGTGTATATATGCAGCGCTGCTGCAGGAGCAAGCAGATCCTCAATAAGGAGAGAGAACAATTATGAAGAGAAAGCACATCAGGAGAGGCGATTATATAACTGCTTGCACTGTTTGATTTTATTTTCTGTCGTTACTAATTCATAATACGGATTGCTTGGTTCAAGTGGCCGCACGGTATATTTGCGTACACAAATTCGACCGATGACATGATCTTGCTTCTTGCAGCCAAAATAACAGTGATGCAAATAGAAAAGCTGCTCTTTGAACATCATGTGCCGGTAATTACAAATATATCATTATTTTTCGTACGTATATATTAAATAGATCTGCAGCGGTAACCAATCAGCAAGACAATGGCATCTGCATCAGATTCAACTGAAAGCTAATTACTTTGGTACTTACAAATTACTTTCCAGTAAACAATGGTACATGCAAATGTTTATCTTTGAGTTACATATTATCGTTTTTAGCCAAGCTAATTACTTTGCTATGTTTCTTAGAGCAAAAGTTTGATGACTATAATTGTTATAGCTATCTTTGTCATGCATATCATGCAGATTCATTTAAGGTTAGTTCTTTTTTTTCCACACTTTTTATGATGTACTGCTCCTTTTGTATCATTCCAAAAAGATTGGCTATGCTTCAACCATTTTGCTTGGTTATTTCATTACTAATTTTATTTGTCAGGCAAGATGCAATTTAATCCTAGGACCGACATATATATATATATATATATGGTTCACGTTCAATTTTCAAGATATTATTAAATTAACTAATCTATGTCAAGGGGCAATTTTTAACTATGAGGATCTTATATTCATCGTGTCATCCACAGGTAATTACGATTTTACTTTTCATCAATCTCTGCCCGCAGCAGGAGCTGCTCCATTACTCATAGACAAAGCCAACAACTTACTCTTCACAACGCTGGAGTATGGCATGATGGAGGCCACATCGACCTCCTTTGTCTTGCACATGACGATCAGCAGCGTGCCGGTGTGTGCATATACTGCTCAACTGACGACGTCAATTGGATACACGCAACCTCAGACTCTATAGGTTCAGACTATTTTCTCCATCCAGATTTTGAGGTAATCTTTTTTTTTTCATCTTGGTTGTTTTATTTACATATTTCTCATCTGAAATGAGATCAGGACTCAACCACACCATCACCACATCTAATAATATAAAATTTAGGTATTGATCCACAAAATAAAACAACTTTGTTGCACCTATAATGCAAATATAAATAAAACTTCATTGCAGTTTCAATTAGATGTCATTATTTACAAACATGCATATATTAAGAAATATCAACTCTCAATTTAAGATTTTGCATGAATTATAAATAACTTAGTATTTTAACTCTCGATTATATTAATTAGTTTTTGTTAATCTGTACACTATAAGTATAATTTTAAGTAAAACACAACAGAATATGTTTCAATTGAAATATTCTAGAGCAATAGAATATTACATAAATATCATCCACTCCTTATTTCAGTTTTTTTCGAAAAATTCCAAAATTTGAATTAATAAATATCATACACTCTTTAGTTTCAGTTTTTTCCTAAAAAAATGCTAATTCCAAAATTTAAATGAATAAATATGAAGTTGACTCCTGTTTTATAGTATTTTATTAGTTTAATTCCGAAGTTTGAAATTAATAATTTGTATGCAGTCCTTGATGTGGACCCTTTTTGGTTTAAATAGGTATAATTAGAAAAGTAACATTTAGCATATTAACTTTTTAATATTTATAATAATTATATAATAGCACGTGTGATGCACAGGTTGGCGACCAACATAATCATGTTAACTATGGGTCACATTAGTTATGACTCACTAATATAGTTTTTTTTTCTAAATTTTGAGCGTACAAAATAGATATTTAGACAAGTACATCATGATACTTATTATTTTTTAAAATTTGGAAGTATAGATCATATACCCAAAGAACAGTTTATGCTCCAGTACTTTTCATTGATTAATTGTACAGTTTGAATTTACTTGATCAAAAAAAATCTAAAATTACGACACCAGTAAACCTTTCTATTACTAATTTAAATAGATAATCAAAAGGCTGTCTTCTTTAGCAATTCAATAATTACAAAAATCTTGCAGTGCAAGCATTGCCTGCCACACGCGAAGTTCAACGTGGGCTAAGATTTTATTGCTATTATCAAAATTTTTAATTATTCTATGATAATTAAATTACTTGATATTTTTATTATTCTCTATCTATTTATTAAAGAGTTGTGTGGGAAAATCAAGAATATAAATAAGGTAAAGTTGTAGGGGGCAATCCTGCTAATTGCCTTTTAGAGAGATATTTTGAAAAACAAATAATCAAAGTTTCGACATCTGATTAAAACCTATATATTTATTTATATTATATTGATAGAGCCCATGCAACGCACGAGTTGGCGGCTAGTATTTTTTAATCTACGAATAATTTTAGAGTTAGAGGTTTAACTTCATGCATTCTAGGAGTCGCTCTCCGGGGAACTGAGTGGAACATTATCCGATGTATAAAAAAGCAATGATATATCTCTTGTCTCCCATCATATGATTGGCCTATACATATATATTGTATGTGTCACATTGAACTGCAATGAGAAGGTTGAATAATTGCATCAAATTAATGAAATGTTTTACAAATTGAAGATCAGATAAGGAACAAGAAATTCTACTGGCTGAGAAAGGGATAGATGAACACTTGATAAAGGCAGATCACACAATTTCGATGGCTATGCATCGAGTTGTGCTGTTATGCATGGATATTGGCCTAGGAGGCATCAGGAGTTGTCATTTCAACGATCCATTTATGCACTGACCTTCTTTAGTAGCTAGAAACATAAACATAAGGCGAAGCAGTAGCCACCAGCCTGATATTGCCTCACCCATAGTCTCCTTGATAGTACGAATGCGAATTGGAGAAACGTTGAGCTACTTGAATCCCCCTTCCAGATTTTCTTGGTCAGTATGGATTGCCCCATCTATTGTCCAGACTTCAGAGTGGTTATGTGCATGAAAATTTTGTATTAATCCTTACCACTTACCTACGTGGTTAAATTAAGGTTTGGTTGATATGATACAAGAATGTAAGGCGTGCTTTCAGAACATGCTAAATATTTGGAAGGAGAATTTTCTTATGATATTTTATTTTTCATAATTATATGGTTCTCATCAAATGGTTCCAAAGATGCTGACTGGCGTCGTTCTCTTTTTTACCAAACGGAGTAATGGATTGTTTCATGGAAGCTAGTCCAACAATCGAGCATTCCAACATTTTTACACTTGAGCTGAAGAATTGATTAATCATGCAGCTATAGGTGTATATACAACTCACATGCACAGCTTCAATAAATGCAGAGAACCAGACTGCGTTTTCACAAAAGATATGTGACAAGCATATGGTATCCTGCATTTGTGCTGCCTTTGTTGCTTCAGAAAGGATGAGATGAGCATTAATCAATTCTTCAGAAATGCAGTAGGCTACTACTGATAGAGTCAAAACTGAGGAGTGATGAAGTAGGCTAATTGACTTTGTTGCTTCAGAAAGGATGAGATGAGATGAGCTACTACTGAGAAAGTCAAAACTGAGGAGTGATGACAAGCTCAAGTTCTACAAGCTGAGTGATGAAGTGTTGTTAGGACCACAGTCCAGTCTGGTTGCAATGCTAGGCATTGGAGATATTTGGAGCTCTTGTGTTACAATCAGAGAGTATACATGGTGCTGTCCAGCAACCAGCATATGCAGTTTTGACTTTGTCAGTAATAGCCTACACTGCTTCAGAGCTAAGTCCTTCTATACTTGTATTGGTGATGAATGGTGTTTGCCGATTCCAAATCCATTAACTTCTCTTGATAAAACAATTCCGCTGGCATTTTTTTTTGCTGCAGCTCAGCCAACTTAATTCCAAATCCGTAAAATAAAATAGGTATGTACTCATGTTTTTTTATGTGAAGTGACAGTCTTCTTTTGTTGTTCTCCGACTATATAAACAACATCACCAAAGCAGCCTGCAGGATGATCATATGTATGTAAAGCTTACCTGCTAGATAGATTACTGCATACGATGGTTCCAAAGTTTCAGTTGAGCAAACAAATCAGAAGAAATTCTGAAGACAAACGCAGGCACATAGCTAGCAATGATTTGGTCATGGTTTACTTTGTCGTACTAAATTACAAATAAGATAACTTTGAAAAGAAAGAAGAAATTTGGAGGCAATGACATACACCTTGAGAAACAAATTAATCCTGATGAGATTATACCGTCAGAAATCAGAAGCCTCTTCCCGATTAGCTACACACACACTATAGACCACACCATCCTTCTTATGGAACAGTGGAAGCTGAAACTGGTGGCAAGGCATGTCGCCACCTCTGATAGATAAAATCAAAGCTTGGCCTCATCTTCTACGAATCGATCATCATGGTTCTGGAGCATATCGATCGGCAGGTGTATCCTGCAGGGATGGCGGCGGCGGCGGCTTTGACAGGACTCTGTGGATTTTGTGGCTGTTCTAAGGTGGCCCCGTGTAGCAAGTGCAAAGCTGTGACTTGGTGGTGAGGTGGCGATGTTATGGCCCATTTAGTAGAGCTCTAACTACTAAATTTAACTTTAGGAGTTGAGTTTGGAGCAGAATTGTGAAACAGTCTAAACATTGCTTCACATTTCTAGTTCATTTTGTGAGAGTGCCGCAGTCAACTTCACTCCCATTTTTTATGGAGCTGAAACTATTTGGTTGGGCTACAGCCCCAGGAGAGTTGGAGCTCGAGCTGGAGTTGCGTCAAACAGGCCCTTAGTCTTATTTGTGAGTTGTGACCGGTGACAGCGGCATTAGAGAATTTTGTTTTTTTTTTGGTAAACTCATGCCCCTTCTGACGCTCCTGTATGTACCTCTTAGTTTTGGTTGGATGGTAGGATCACTGGAATGGTAGCAATATGATTATCAAGAGACCTAATGGATACTTGCATTAGTGGAGTTTTTCCATGCAAAATATCATTTGCTACTATACAAATATCGATTCAGGAAGCAAACATGCAACATTTGACGATCTAAAATCGCCCTTTTTTTTTCCATAAAAAAGATAGTGACTGAGTGAGCCTAGCTAAGTACAACAAGCTGATGGAAGAGAAATGAAGAGTTCCAGTGACAACTAGGGGTGGATGTTGAGCTGGTTCGGCTCGGCTCGGCTTGGTCTGGCTCGTTAGGATAACGAGCCAGCTCGGCTCGGCTCGGCTCGTTATTCTAACACTGGTGGAGAAACCATCTTTACTTCCGGTTGGGAACCCTCTTTAGTCCCGGTTTTCCAACCGGGAGTAAGGATCCGGGACTAAAGATCATCCCGGTTGAAATAACCGGGACTAAAGACATCTTTAGTCCTGGTTGGTATCACCAACCAGGACTAAAGAGAGGGGATCTTTAGTCCCGGTTGATGTTACCAACCGGGACTAAAGAGACAATAGCGGCAGTACCAGATGGTCCCCTTTTCTTTTTCTTTTTTCTTTTTTATTTTCTCCCTAATCAAGTAGGCAAATCCCGAAATCAAAGTAACATCCCAAATTCACATCACCAAATTCATATCACAAATCATAAAGTTACTTATACGCACAAATCAAATACATCACAATATCCTAAGAAATTACTCAAATACATCACAGATCCAAACAATGAACCACAAATTTGTAACTTCTCAGTCAAATACATCTCAATGAATCATCACAATTTTTCTTTAAAAAAAAGAATGCCGCTGCTGCCGCCGCTCGCCACGACCGCCGGCTGCCGGCCGTGGCCCCACCGCCCGCCATGGCCACGGCCCCGCCGCCCGCCTCCGCGTGCGGCGCCGTCGCCCGCCGGCCGCCGGCAGCCGCCGCGCACGGCCCCGCCGGATGGGAAGGGGAAAAGGGGGAGGAGGAAGGGGAAAAGGGGGAGGAGAGGAGGAAGGGGAGGAGTTAGAGAGGGGATGAGGAAGAGAGTTAGAGAGGATAGATCTGAGGAGAGGGGGTGAGATTCGATCTGTCTAAGTTGTAACTATGGAGGAAAGGATAAGTGATAGGGATTATATACTACGTGTTTAATTTTAGTCCCGGTTGGTAGTACCAACCATGACTAAAGTGGTGATCTTTAGTCCCGGTTATTAACACCAACCGGGACTAAAGATCCTCGGCCCCCTAACATACATCTGACAAGGGATGAACCGTGACTAAAGATCATATTTAGTCTCGGTTGGTCTTACCAATCGGGACTAAAGATCAAAATTTTTATAACCGGGACTAAAAACAATCTTTAGTCCCGGTTCTTTTTGGATCCGGGACTATTGTGGATTTTGCCAGACCGACCAAAGATGGTTTCTCCACTAGTGTAACGAGCTAGAAACCAAACTCGGCTTGGCTTGTCTGCAAGCTCGAGCTAGCTCGTTTAGCTCGTGATATTTGGGGATAAGAGAGAAAGCAAACAAGGAGAGGAGAGGCGCCAGGGAAGAGCGGCGGTGGCGGTGGCGTCCACAGCGGCATTGGGCACCGGGGAAGAGCGGAGCGGTGGTGGCGTGCATGGCCGCGTCGGGTGCTGGGGCCTGGGGGAGAGCCGCGCGGACGTTTAGGGCTGGCAGCGGCTCATGTGATGATTGGGGATGGGGATAGAGCTAGGGTTTTGATGCACATATGGGCCACAAGTCCAGAGCGGCATGGGCTAGCTACCTCAGCTCGTTAAGGCTCGCGAGCAGCTCGCGAGCCAACTCGAGCTGGCTTGTTATCTCTAACGAGCTAAAATGCTAGCTCGGCTCGTTAGGAAAATGAAACGAGCCAAGCCGAGCTTGGTGCAAGTCGAGCGAGCTATCGAACATGAGCTTTCCGTCCAGCCCTAATGACAACTAGCATTGTCTCCAATGGATTTCAATGGTAACTACTACGAAACAAAAAAGAACTCGATTTTCCAGGGAAGGGGTTTAGGAGGCACCGGAAAACTCTCGTCTTACACGATCTCTTGTGTTATCTTGAAGGATAACACACGAAAGCGTTGTGTTCTTATGTGGTCAAGGATTTTATCTTGCAGAGCTACATATATAGTTTGAGAGTAGCCGGATGTGCATGGGCCAGATTACGTCCAACTTCTGTAGATAAACTTCCACTAGATTCAGCTCAACAAGACTATTGAGTTAAGAGTTTGGAACAATTCTTTTTCAATATGTTCAGTAGAGATACTTAGATGATGATCATTTTGGGAAGACCACAAGAATCTTAGGTGATCATCAAACTGGTATGGAGGGAGTGTTTCGTTGGAAATAGTCTCAAAAAGTCTAAATCTAGAGATGAAATCTTGGCACCAGATTGTTCCAAATAAGAGCAATTACCATCCAACATTTGGTACCTCGAGATACCATATTTTGCATACAAAATTTTGGTACCTTGAGATACTATAAGTACCTTGAGGAACCAAATTTTACATATAAAGTATCTCGAGGTACTAAAAATTTGTGGTATCTCGAGATATCAAATATTGGATAGTAAAATTACTCATGGATTAAGGACTTAATCACCTCCCGTACATCCTCGTTGCTGCCAATCACTAGAAGGGATACCATCATCTCAATCGGACAGTAAACCCATCTCAATTGGGCACAGAGTCCGTCACAGGCTAGAAGTCACAGATGTGAAGAGTTATCTCAATCGGGCAAACGGCCATCACGGATGAATCTATCTCAATCGGGCCCTAATTAAAGCCCGTCACCGATAGCTTTGACCCAGACGACCAGTCAAACTATAGCCCGTCACGGATGACCTATCTCAATCGGGCCACAACTAGCGCCTGTCACAGATGACCCATATCTGTGACGGGCATTAACTATAGCCCGTCACAGATCAGTCATCTGTGACGGGCATTAACTATGGCCCGTCACAGATGACCATCATCTCAATCGGGCCTAAGTTAATGCCCTTCACATATGAGTATAATCACAGATGACCCTCATCTCAATCGGGCCTAAGTTAATGCCCTTCACATATGAGTATAATAAAAAAAAATAAATTTTATTTTTTGGCTAGTCTCATTTTTGTCCTCACTTGAAATTCAAACTTCCCAATCGGTCACCCATCTTAACATCAAGTTCTTTGGAGATTGGCTTCCGGAAAAGTAGTTCTAACTTGTTAGTATGAGTATTCTATTAATCTTATTAAGCCCTAGGCCAGGATGTCAAATTGGGGTTATTAAATAATTTCAAATGGAAAAGTCACCAAAACCAAAGTTGTAGAACTCATCGAGGTGCAAAATTTTTATTTTGGTCATTTCTCCATATGACTATTTAAACAATTTGAAATTTGAAAATCAAAGTTTGAAAAGTTCAAATAGAATTTTAGATTAGTGAACGGCTTCAAATGAAAAAGTCATAAACAACAAAGTTGTATAACTCATCAAGATCTATAACTTTTATTTTAGTCATTTTTCTATATAACATTTTTTGAACCATTTGAATTTGAATTTAAAAATATGACAACTTCAAACAACATTTTCAAATACTAAATGATATCAACTGAAAAAGTCATCAAAAACAAAGTTGAATAACTCATCAAGATCTAAAACTTTTATTTTGGTCATTTCTTCATACGACAAAGTAATAGTAACATTGTTCACAAAGTTGACATATCTCTTATGTGGTTTTATAAACTATAACACATATATGTAAAATTTGTGAATAATATTACTAACATTTCGTCGGATGAAGAAATAAAAAAAAAGTTTTAGATCTTGATGAGTTATTCAACTTTGTTGTTGATGACTTTTTCAATTGAAATCATTTAGTATTTGAAAATGTTGTTTGAATTTGTTATATTTTCAAATTCAAATTCAAATTCAAACAGTTCAAAAAAGATGTTATATAGAAAAATGACCAAACTAAAAGTTGTAAATCTTGATAAGTTATACAACTTTGCTGTTGACATTTTTTCCATTTGAAATCATTTACTACCCGTAAAATCATTTTGACTCATAAAATAAATTATTATATTGCACTTAATTATTTTGCTATAGTTCAACTTACAAATATAAACATTTCATATGAAAAATGAAAAAATAGTCATCGGTGACGGGCTTTAGTTAATGACCGATAGAGATTAAGTATATAGCCTGTCACTGATGAGTCATCTGTGACGGGCCTAGTTGCTATCTCAAACGGGCCTTAAGTTGGTGCACATCATGGATGATGGTCATCGGTGACGGGCCACAACTTGAGGCCCGTTTAAGATATGGAATGTTATCTTAATCGGGCCTAAACTACGGCCCGTCACTGATAGGTGTCATCCGTGACGGGCTTAAGTTTTATGCCCATCTAATATGTCTGTGTGACCATATCTCAATCAGGCATTTTTTGGCCCGATTAAGATAACTTCCTTATGACGGCCCGCTATTTCTAGGCATATTAGAGCCCATCATACATAGAAGGATCTGTAATAGTGAATTGGGCTGGCTCATCCCTGACCTCTTTGCTCCTCCCCACAAGGACTCGACGAGGTCTAAACTGAACTAGGTCCTTCAGGTCTTAAAAGTTAGAACTATAGCAGGCAATCATATATACGTCCTATATATATATATATATATATATATATATATATATATATATTGCACTCTCATCTAATGTTGAATTGTGTAATTATTAGTGTAAAGTAAGTAGTTATTTTTGTCTCATTTCTCTTTAGCTCAACTGGGTTTATTGTGGATGGCTTTGAATTAAATTGCTAAGACATACACATGAGCTAGCATTAATTTCCTTGTCTGAACCATTAACTGAGTCGGCTGTTAGCCTATATATATATATATATATATATATATATATATATACAGGTGCTAGGATATCGGAATGACTTATGCAGTTATGCGTATTCCAAAAAAGAAAAAAAGAAGGAAATTGTACAGGCCAAGAGAGATATTATGAACAACGCTTCATGGAGGCAGGTCAGGCCATTGATCGATCAGCAGGTCAGGCATGGTTCTTAGTTTGGGCTTAGGAGACATCAGGAGCTGTTTTTTCACTGATCAAGGGTCACTGTCACCCTTACCAGCAGTAGTGGTCGAAACGTACCCATGCGGCAGAGCGGTTACCACCAGCGTTCGAGTTCCTTCTGTGTCTGTGCTCGAGTTCTTGAGCGACAAGAGGGACTGAGAA